TGTTTTGAGTTCTTTATATATCCTTGATAATAGTCCTTTGTCTGAGGAACAGCTGGTAAAAATTTTTTCCCACATTGTAGATTGTCTCTTAGTTCTGCTGATGGTTTCTTTTGAAGTACAGAAGCTTTTTAGTAAGATGAGATCCCAGTTGTTGATTCTATCTGCTAGTTCCCGTGCTACTGAGGATTTGTTCATAAAGTCTTTTCCTATACCAATGTCTTCCAGAGTTCTGCCTAACTTACCTTCAAAAGGAGCTAAAGGTGTAGGGAAGGTGTGATGGGCAGGGGAAGAACAACAAGGGAAAAGAAAAAAATGTGAGAGAATGAAAAGATGAAAATAAAGTGTTTGTAGATGGGGAGGGGAGGAGGGGGTGAAGGGAGGGCAGAGGTAAGGGGAAAAAATGAGAACCAAGACCTGTCATGTAGAGGTACAAGATCCCAACAATGAATGTAACTGTACTGTATTCCTAAAATGTACCAATAAACTCAATAAAATTAATAAATTAAAAAAAAAAAGAAAGACCAAGTGAACAGTGCTCCTCAGACGAGGGGCAGAAGTGAGCATTAAATAAGGCAACCACTTAGCAGCAGTAACTGACAATCGCTGAGTTCTCAGAAAAATATAGCCTCATTACTGTGTGATTACTATGTGATAATCACATAGCCTTCTCGGTCCTATTTTCACTGAATTATTTAGATTTTAGCAATTTTACTAACATAAGCTTCATCTACGATGCTGATTCTAGATTCATTTTCCTTTAACTACAGTCAACAATGACAGAAGAGAAAATTTGCTTCTGAAGTTATGTTCTGGTAGCATAAACTGAACACTTTGGATACTGCTGTGGGAAACAAAATCCAAATTAAGTATCAGCCTCCCTCCCCATTTACATATTCCCTCTCAACAGAAGAGTACTTAGCTTTCATTGTGAGTCAAAGGACCAAGCCTAGTATTCCTTCCCTTAGCCCTAATTCCCTAAGACTCACAGTTGTCATTCAATAAAATTCTTGTTTACATCAGATTAGCACAAGATTTTGACTATCACAGATCTACCCTTTAAGCATCATGACTTCAGCTTTTATTCACATCATATAACACATGTAGGCTCCTGTTCGCTCTTGCCGTCTCCTAAATTCCAAAGGAATATAGCAATCATGACATATTTAACCCCGAGATACTATTGTCCTATTTGGGGCTCCTTTAAGACAAAGAAGACTATTAAAATCATTCATGATATCTGGCTTTTGTCTTTGTTGTGAAATCTGGAATGACCTTAGTAGGAAGTATGTGTTGAGAAAGAAAAAGATAAGTGAAACATTACTTCCCCCTGCTGAGAAAAAAAAAAAAAGGTGAAAAGAAATGGAAACATTTGGAAAGATTCTCCCTGAAGACTTAATAAACCGGAGGGAAGAAGGCTCCCAGTTGTAGCTGAGAGAGGATGTAAGGATGAGCGAGAAGTTGAAGGGAGTGATGTAAAATCAGCATCTCACAGTATAAGTGGTTAAAGAAAGAGGAAAAAGAAAATGAGAGCGTCAGACCTTGGTTGGGAGCAGGTGTGTGAGAGCTAGACCTCTACAGTCCAGCGCAGGAATAACTGAGGCATGGCCAGTCTCTTCTTGATGAAAACACATTCTCCAAAAACCAACTTTCTTCTATGGCGGGAGAAGTCTCTGGAACAGCTGCTGAGAGTTGTTACATGCCAACAATTCAGGATAGTTTATAGGTGTGGAGGTTTGTGTCACTATTTTTTAGAACCAAATATCTACACATATACATATATACATCCTCCTTTACATGTCCTTTATCTCAGACCTCAGGCACCTTTCAGGAGAACGCTTTGCATATTCCCCGCAGCGTTCTCCCATGTGCATTTGGAATTATGACTCACGATGTCCTAACTCTCAGTAAATCATATATTACCATCAGATATTAATAGAAGATAATAATGGTTATATATGCATTTTGGGGCCAGTAAAATGCTCTATCACATTTTTCAATCTTCTTTTAACCAAATATATTTTATTCGTTTTAAGGGACTTTTGGGTAGGAGGTGTGGAGAACTGAAATACACATGCGCCAGAAGTCGGGAAATATGTTGCTTGGCAGAAAATCCTGAAGAACCACTTGAAGACATATTTGAGTCTACTTTCCTATTTGCTTCCCTCATCTACTCCCCTGCTTTTCTCTATCACATCTTCACTAAGCTAGAAATTGTACCCAGGAATATAAAATGGGAAGGAACGTTACTCTTCATCTAAAGAATATGTGGTCTTTTGAGGAACCAGAATTATAAGAATCTTAAAAAGCCTAATCACTGTAGTTTGGGCCTGCACCCACTAGTCCAGGGAAGAGAAGAGCCGAAACTTTTCTGTCTATAGGAGTAAGAAAGCCTTTAAAATCAGCTCCTCTCTGACCTGAGAATCGAGGGCTGTGTAAGTGGTAAAGAAGTACTGTAGCAGCCAAGAAGTAGCTCATTTTAGATGGAGGAGAGAGCCGTGCAGAGGGCCGCCTGTGCAGTTCAGGTTGACCCACTCAGGGAAACGGAAGAAGTTCAGCTGAGCAAGAATGTGAAGTGCTGCAGAGAACTTGGAAGACTTGCCAGAGTTTTAGTAAGAAATCTCTTCACAAAGGGCTTGTGTGCGCCGTGAGCATAGCGGACACAGCCACTCTAGGAGCAATATGTTAGGCAAAGTAAAGCAGGTGAGGTAAGAGGCTAATAGGCCAGAGATTAAAGGTGATTTTCTCAGAAATGAATGGGGAAAGGTCTGCCGTAGAGGAGAGACAATGAGGGAAGGAATAAAAAGCCAAACTTGATCAGGACATGTACATTGGGAGCTGGGAAGCTGAGAGTCTTGGCGAACCAAAGGCATAGTCACAAGAAAAATGGGAAAAAGACCTGTCCCTCATTCGACTTGGGCCCATTCTCAGATTTCTGGTGGGCCCAGCTGGTGCCTTAGTGGAGGCTTCAGTCCACAAAGCTTCTTCTGCTAAATCCTCCTTCCTCTCTTTCCCATCCACCGACATAACCACTAGGGCATTTTCCAGGAAGGACCTGGGTGTTAATTTCCCTGAAGAGTCTGTTTTCTGAGAACCCAACCTATGACAGACAATGTGGGATACAAACGTAACGGACTGGCAATGGCTTTAATGTGAGAGCTAACAGGAAGGAGGCCCCTAGGATGGCTGCTCCAATCCACACCACAGTAACACAGTGTGGTCAGAATGGATGCACAGAGTGGGGAGACACTAGATTTTGATAATGAAATCTCTAAGTTGGAGTTGCCCATGGAGCATCTGGCTCGGTGTCTGGTGGACAGCTGATGTAAATCATAAGAACTGGACTGAGGCAGGGAGGACAGAACAAAGGGACTGCAGTAGGAATAAAAACAGAATGGGTTCGGACAAGAGCAAAAGGACTATTAAACACTGTGTTGCATTTGGGCTCATAAGAAATGCTGTTCCTGGAAACCATGAGCCATGGTCAGAAGCTCAAATTCATTCTCCTGGGAAGTAAACACCGGACCATCCCAACAGGACAGTTAGAGACAGGAGACAGCAGAGGCAGAGCCAGTGCAGCCTGTGGCTGCAGGGCCATCTCCTGGGCTAGGGACATTGATCTGAAGTGGCCCTTAGCTCAGACAAAGGCTCACACTGAATAGGACTATTCAAAGCTCTAATTATCCCACATCCCACATCCAGGAAGGTTTGTGCTCTTCTGAGCAAATCTTGCACCCATCTGCCTGCCTTTCTGTGTAGCAAGCAGGTGGCCTAGGAGCACTGTGCACATATCTGCTGGCACAGAAGTAAAGCGCTGTCTGGGTGGGGATGGCAGTCTCTATGGAGAGGGAGAATTTAGTCTGTTCCTTCTGAGAGATATTGTATCCATTAGCCATCTTGCCTTGGTTAATGTCATTGACATCACTACATCAGCCCCCGTCCTGGATCTTGTTGGTACCAGTACATTAGGTTATCGCCCTTGGTCTGAGAACATTCCAACACAGTGCTCATCATGTTTGTGTGACCCTGTTCCTTGGGTCTGAGTAACACCAGAAGCCACGGCCCCTGTGGGAAAACAAGACAAGACACAGACTGGAGGTGGAGCTGAGGGATATCCTTTCGCTGAGATCTTTAGGAAGAAGCTTCTTCTAAGAATCGGATAATCAAAGGCAGGGATTTTCCCATCTGCTTCCCAACTTTACCTCCTCCCAGGAAACAGAAAAACACACAGTAGAGGAACTGGAAATCCATAGCAAACAGAGGTGAGGTGGAAATGTTTCCGGGGGGTGAGGGAGACAAGGAGTTTGGAGGGAACTCACTCCTGAGGTACTAGGCCTCCAGAGAGACACAGCCATAGCTCCGACTTGGGGAGGACCTTTCTTCACTCCTTTGTGATCAGGAAGGGTGGCTTGGCTGACTTATTATAAATCCTCTCTGTGGGCGCTGAAACTCTTCCCTGGTCTTTCACTGACAGTGACAAGAGCGGGCTTTTTTTTTTTTCCTTCTCTGGGCACATCTATTTCAGCTATTCAAGGCAGCTTTATCCTCCCACAAAACAGACTGTGGAGAAAACTCACAACCCTACAAATAAAAGGAGTCTGGGCTCACCGTAATATTATGACACTGTCACTATTTCTCTCTGCATTTAATTGCTTATTCTAATTCAGTTCTGGGTGAACTATGCAATTTGGATATATTCTGTAAAATTTAAGCTTTATATGTTTGTTAAGGGAAAAATGACAAAGTTTCTTTTCAATTTCCCTTCTTTTTAAGGAGCTCCTGCTTTTCTCGTCAATGTTTTTTGAGTGCAGCTCTTTCCTGAAAATACTGGCTCACTGTAGGGAGATAACCTTTAATGCTAACATATACTTCAAAAAATATTTAACACCGTCACTTAGTAGGATGTTTTTAATTCAATCAGGCCAATAAAATGGAATTTTATTTAATATAAATTGTTCCTAATTTAGGAGAAAAACGTTCAACATTTTGATACCATACTTTACAAATACAGCTCAGCGGCTTTGATAATGTGAATATTGGTCGATATCTGACACAAGAAACAGCTGGCTCCTGGCTTTCTTGTACTTATCCTGGCTTCACCTCACCCCCAGATGCACTGTGGCTGCCTACAGTGATCATTAGGAATAAAAACTCCTCTTTCAGGGATCACAACAGCTGAGAGACTAAAGAACTGAGGCACAGGTGTTGAAGGGCCCCTGATCACCCAGGACCAACAGAAAATAGCTGCGTGAAGAGGAAAAAAAAGCAGAAATGGATCTGGGTGAGAGACCTGAGGCCAAAGAAGTATGAGAAATTGTCATCCTGCATATCAGGTTGCTCGTCTTCTCTTTGTTTTGTTTTTCTACTTTCAATGTAACAGCTTTAATCTTTCATTGATGCACAATATTTGTGTATATTTACAAGGTACAATATAGCATTTTGATTCATATATGTACCGGATAATGATCCACTCAGGGCAACCAACATATCCATTCAACTTTCACTTTTGTCATTTCTTATTGGGAGCACGTCCAAAACCCTCTCTTAAATCGAGATATGCGATGTATTACTATCACTTTAGTCACCCTACTGTGCTGTAGAGTACAAGATGTTTTCTTCCTACGTGTTGACCGTCTTTTACTCATTGAACTCTTCTTTTTAAAGTCTTTCACTTTTAGTTTTGAAATTTTCGAACCTGTGTAAAGTAGAAATTATTTGGTAAAATGAGCGTGATAGAATAATGGCCCATCAGAACCCCACATTACTCAGCTTCGGTAATACCAACTCATGGCCTCTTTTCTTTATGCAACCCCTACCCACTTCCCCTTCTCCTGTGGTGTTTGGAATAGTTGCTGCTTTATAGAGGAGTTCACAAGCACATTTTACAGACGCTGCACATCTTCCATGTGACATTTTCCTGTGTCCTTCCTGCCTTTTACTCTTTGATTAGAGTCCTTCATTGAATAACACCAATAAAAATATGAATCATTTTCAGGGAATTGCTTATCCTGGAATTCTATCAATACAGGATAATGGCAATATCTTTTTTGGTTTGTCCGTAGTGTGAAAAATTCCATTGCCTTTATGGGTCATTCCTAAAGTAGATTTGTACTTTTGCTGCCCTCTGCTGGTGGGAGTGATTTGGGTAGAAGCAAGATTAAAGAGCTGATTATAAAGGATTAGGGATATAAACTCTTCTCTCAGTGCTCACACCAGCTGTGAGACTGGAGGACTAAGATCTATCAGTTCAATGATGGAAAGAAACTAGTTGTGTGACAAGGAGAGAAACAGAAATCTTTCTGGGTTCACGACTTAAGGCCAAAGAAGTGTGAGAGATACTCATCAGAGAAATGCCTAAAGGAGACACTGGAAAGGAATGGAAGGAATATAATTGAAAAGATGCCCCAATTTCTTAATGTCATGAGCCAGTACTTCTTCTACTCTAATAGGACGATAGGATCCTCAAATAGAATCTCCTCTACCTCTGACCTATCCTCTACTCAGGCAGGGTGCATACTTCTCAGTCCTACTCACAAACTTTTTTGCCAGCTCTCTCTCTCTCTCTCTCTCTCTCTCCCTCCCCCCATGGCCATATGTGTGCTCTGTGTGGGTGAGTGGGATCCTAAGGACTGTTCAATGCCTTCCCTTTGTGAGTTACTGCTCTGAAGAGCACACATCCTTTGGCACACAGGGCAAATTAATATTTCACTACTGGTGAATGCTTTCTGTGTTCTAGGAAACTTTTGCTTACTCTCAACTCACAAAAGTAGTTTTTTTATGTTTTCTTCCAGAATTTGTAGTTTTAATTTTTATGATTAGGTCTAAGATACATCTAATTTATTTTATTTCTGGTATTAGGTAATAGCACAGTTTATTTTCTTTAAATCCAATTGTTCCAACATCATTTGTTGTGACTGTTTCTTTTTTTTCTCATTAAGCTTATTGGTTTATTTTAAGTATACAGTACAGTTACATTCATCACAGGGGTCTTGTACCTTTCCATGACAGGTCTTGGTTTTTCCCCTTATCCCTGCCCTCCCTTCACCCACTCCTCCCTTCCCTATTGACAAATACTTTATTTCCATTTTTTAATTTTCTCATATTTTTTTCTTTTCCCTTATTACCTTTTCCCTACGGTTCCCATTTCTCCTACAACTTTAGCCCTTTTCTTCCTATTTCACATTGTCAATTATATCATTAGGATCTTATATACTGTTATAGTTTCTCATGCCAGAGAAACTATTCAGTATTTATACATGTGTGACTTATTTATTTCACTTAGGAGTATATTCTCAATATTTATCCATTTTCCCAGGAATGACTCTATTTCTCATTCTTTATGACTGAGTAGTATTCCATTTTATAGAAAAACCATATCTTCTTTATCCAGTTTCCAACTGATGGGAAAATGGGCTGTTTCCAAGATTTAGCTATTACAAACTGTGCCACTATAAACATAAGTGTGCATATATCGCTGTGATATGATTCTTTTAATTCTTTTGGAAAGATACCCAGCAGAGGGATGGCTGGGTCAAGTGGAACCTCTAGTCACAGCTCTTTGAGGTATCTCCATATTGATTTCCATAGTGGCTACACCAGTCTGCACTCCCACCAACAATGGAGAAGGGTTCTTTTCTCCCCGTAATCCTGCCAACATTTGTTATTGTGTGATTTCTTGATAGCCCCCATTCTTTGTGGGGTGAGGTAGAATCCCAGTTTTGTTTTCATCTGCATTTTTTGAATGACCAGTGATGTGGAACATTTTTTTCATATATTTATTTGCTGCTTTTACTTCTTTGTCTGAGAAATGTCTGTTCATTTCAGTTGCCCATTTTTGAATTGGGTTCTTATATTTGGGGGGCTGACTGTTTTGAGTTCTTTATATATTATAGATGAGAGTCCTTTGTCTGAGGAGCAGCTGGTAAAAATTTTTTCCCACATTGTAGGTTGTCTCTTAGTTCTGTTGATGGTTTCTTTTGCAGTGCAGAGCTTTTTAGTAAGATGAGATCCCAGTTGTTGATTATTTCTGCTAGTTCCCATGCTACTGCGGATTTGTTCATAAAGTCTTTTCCTATTCCTTCAAAAGTTCTACGTTGTCTTCAAGAGTTCTACCTTGTCTTCAAGAGTTTTACCTAACTAATCATCCAGCAAATTTAGTGACTCTTTTTTAATATTTAGTCTTTAGCCCACTTGGATTTTAGTTTAGTGCATGGCGAAAGATAAGGGTCTAGTTTTAATCTTAGGCAGGTTGAAATCCAGTTTTTCCAACCCCATTTATTAAAGAGGCTATCTTGCCTCCATTGAGGATGGTCAGCTCCTTTGTCAAAGATGAGGTAACTGAGTATATCTGGAGTTGTTTTTGTATCTTCCAATCTATTCCACTGATCTTCAGGTCTGTTTCTTTGCCAGTACCATGCTGTTTTTATCACAGTGGCTTTGTAGTAGAATAAACTTTTGGATTATTTTTTCTAGTTCTGTGAAATATACTGTTGGAATTTCAATCAGCATTGCACTGAATCTGTAAAGCAGTTTTGGTAGTATGGCCATTTTCACTATGTTAATTCTTCCTACCCAGGAGCAGGGGACATTTTTCCATTTTCTTATATCCTCTTTGGTCTTTTTTTTTTTTTTTTTGCAGAGAGTTATAGTTTTCAGTGTAGAAGTTTTGTGCTTCTTTCATTAGATTGATTCCTAGATGCTTCATTTTTTGGATGCTATTGTGAGAGGAATTATTTCCCTAATTTCTCTCTCAGTGAGTCTGTTATTTGTGTGCAAGAAGGCTATTGATTTTTGAGCATTGACATTGTATTCAGCTACTCTGCTGAAAGTGTCAATTAAATCTAGAAGGCTTTTGGTGGAATTTTTTTGGGTCTTCACTGTAGAGTATCATAGTGTCGGCAAGTAATGACTGTTTAACTTCTTCCTTTCCTATCTTTATTGTTTTAATTTCTTTCTCTTATCTAATTGCTATGGCTAATGTTTTTAGAACTATACTAATGAGGACTGGTGATAGTGGGCATCCTTGTCTTGTTCTTGATTTTAACATGAAGGTTTTCAGTTTTTGGCCATTTAATATGATGTTGGCTGTTGGTTTTTTTATACATAGCCTTTATTAAGTTGAGATATAGACCATCTATTCCAATTTTTGAAGGGTTTTTATCATTAATGGGTGCTGAATTTTGTCAAATGCTTTTTCTGCATCTATTGAGAGGTTCATATGGTTTTTCTCCTTGACTCTGTTAATATAGTATATTACATTTATTGACTTACATATGGTGAGCCATCCTTGCATCCCTGGAATAAATCCGACTTGGTCAGGATGTATGATCTTCTTGATGATCCTCTGTATTCTGTTTGCTAGTATCTTATTAAGGATTTTTGAATCTATATTCATTAAAGAGATTGGCCTCTAGTTCTCTTTTGTAGTTGGGTCTTTCCCTGGTTTGGGAATCAAGGTGATACTTGCTTCCAGGCCTGAGTCTTTCAGCTCAGATGACTTGATTTCCACACTGCAGGATGAGTTTGAGGTATATCCAGCTAAGAACCGTGTCTTGGCCATGTCTATCTGATCAACAACTTTTTTGTTCTGAAAATAAATCAAAAACTTCAACTCTTCATTTTGCTTTTGTTGGTACCAATAAACAGCATTGTGTCCCTCTTTAGGGACACAGCTCCTCTTGGCGCTCTGTCCTTTCCTTTTGACCAGATGTCTTGGGTCCTGGGTAACTTCGTCATCAGAAAAGCCTGGAAGAGAAGGAAACAGAAGCTACAGACCAAGCCCTGGAGGGTCCCCAACTCAGGAAAGGGTTTGGATCTGGGTTGGCAAGCCGAGGACAAGGACTTTTCCCCTTGCTCGGGACTGATCTGCTCCCAGGAGACACAGGGTTACAGAGCAGAGGAACCAGGTGGCCATGGTGGCATCCAGGTGACAACAGGCTGAGCTGCCCCACTCCCCGCCAGCATCCTTCCTGTGAGCGACTGCTCTGCCGACTCGTTCCTCGTGGTACTGACTCATGCTACTGGTGAAAACACTTCTGGTACGAGAAGGACAGCTTTTAGCTTCACTCAGTAAGTATAACTGGATTACATCTCTTTCATTTACAATACTTTATGTCTATTTTTACTAATGAGAGAGCCAAAGCACCATCTTACTGTTAGATTTTTGTCAATTATTGATTTAGTAGCATAAAGAAATCTTTCTCTTTCTCTCTCTCTGCCTTTCTTCTCTGTGCTGAAATTTCCTATTTTTGACTATATAGTTGTTTTTTTTTTTAGTTAGATTGTCATTTACAACTTTATATTAGCAAACAGCGGTTTCTCCATTTCTAGGGTTATAACTAACTTTTGTTTTTGCTTTCTATTCTTTCTGTTTGACCAGATATCTTGACAACTGGATTAGTTCATTATCAGAAAAGAATGGCAAATAAATGTAAAGCTAAGGATACAGGCACAGAGAGTCCCTGGCACAGAAAAGGGTTTGAATCTAGGTTGGTTGGTATATGATTGAGAAAGTATAAAATTAAATAACAAAATTATCATGCTACACATTGATTAGACTGTTAGTCCCTATTTGATTGTCTTTTGAGATATTTCCTTCATCTCCTTTCCCTTCCTCTCTCATTTGATCTCAAATTCTTGGTGTTATTTATATTTTTCTTAAATTGTCTCCTGCATCTTAATGGCAAACACTGCTGCTATCTTGGGAGAGAGTGAGAGAGACTGGAGTCTACAATCTACCTGTAGCATTGGCTGTCCACAGTCCACAGCATTGGATAATGTTACAGGGGCCATGTGGTTATGGAATGAAGCCTTACACATTTGCATGTGAAAATGGAAATTAGCCTAAATTTGAAGAACCCTCTGGGATATTTAGATACATTAAAAAAAAATGTAGTACTCAATGACTCAGGAATTATCTCTATTCTTGACTCTAGACATATAATCCTATAAACTGATGTTTCAGGTTCAGGAAGATCTCAGTTCGTGTGGTTTTCAATGCTGGCAAATAATTGGAGGACAATTGGGTGTCTTTTCTGAGGGAAATGAGTTTTATGTGGAGTCTAGAAGACACAGACTGGATACACACACAACATGAAGTGTTTCATTTAGTCTGAGCTGAGTAGAAAAGATGTAAGAGGCAAAATCACATCCAAAAATAAAATAACATGCGATTTTCAGTACCTACATGCATGGCTAGATTAGGTTGCTCTAGGAGAAGGTCATGGCTGGGTCATACTTAATCCATGCCATCACTGTGATATTTCAAGTCCAGGCTTGGAAAGGGTCAGACTGATATTTTATCAGTGTGATAGAACAATGGCAAATGAACTTAGAATCTTTGGTACCCATCTTAATTCATCATGAGGATTTGGACAAGAGGAGAAAGACTACATGAGAAGGGAAAAGCATGGACCAGACAAAGAAGAGGGAGTTCTGGAGAGTCAGCAACCTATGTCCTGGCCAGGTGGACCTTTATCAGAATCTTCAGCCCACAAATTCTAGACTTTTCAGCACCCTTTAGCTGTGTGAGAAAATCCACTGTGGTTGCGCCAGCTCCAGGTCTTTTCTGTTACTTCCTTCCAGTCTAACCCATCTGCTGCTTCCTGACTTGGGTCCACGGGGTTTGTGCACTAGCGGGGATGAGCATTTCAGCGCTGTGGACTGACTGCTGGCACAGAAGTACAGGCCTGAGTCTTCCAGCTCAGATGACTTGATTTCCACACTGCAGGGTGAGTTTGAGGTATATTCAGTTAAGAACCGTGTCTTGGCCATGTCTAGTTGTTCAACAACTTCTTTGTTCAGAAAATAAATAAAAAACTTCAACTCTTCATTTTGCTTTTGTCGGTACCAATAAACAGCATTGTGTCCCTCTTTAGGGACACAGCTCATCTTGGCTCTCTGTCCTTTCCTTTTGACCAGATGTCTTGGCTCTTGGGTAACTTCGTCATCAGAAAAGCCTGGAAGAGAAGGAAACAGAAGCTACAGACCAAGCCCCTGAGGGTCCCCCAAACAGAAAAAAGTTTGTAGTTTTCTCCTTGCTCAGGACTTACCTGCTCCCAGGAGACAGAGGGCTAAAGAGCAAAGAAGCCAGGTGGCCATGGTAACATTCAAGTAACAGAAGGCTGAGCTGTTCCAGTCCCCACCAGCAGCCTTCCTGTGAGTGATGGCTTTGCAGAGTTGGTCTTCATGGTACTGATTCATGCTCCTGGCAGAAACACTTCCTGGTATGAGAAGGGACATCTTTTAGCTTCCTTCCACAAATACAACTGGTTTATATCTAATTCATTTAGGATATTTTATGTCTATTTTTACTATCATAAACAATATGTATATATATTATTCAGAATGCTATAAAATAACAAAATAGTCATGCTATTGCTGGAGAGTGATCACACTTTGAATGCCCTATTGATCGTCTTTGAAGACATCGCTCTCATCTCTCTTTCCCTCCATCTCTTACACTTCCTGTCAAATTTTTTGTCTTATGTTTTTTTCTAAATTGTCTGCTGCACCTTATGATTACCACTGATGATATTTTGGAAGACAATGAGGAAGACTAGAATTTTCAGTTCCTTTAGATCACTGTCCTGACCGCATTCCAGAGCCCTGGATAAAGTCACAGGGGTCATGAGGCTATGGAAGGAAGCCTTGTGGACTTGTATGTAAGAATGGAAATTATAGCATAAACTTGAAGAGCCCTCTGGAATATTTAGATACATAAAATAAAATGCACAGGTAGTAGCCCGTGTCTAGCAATTACTTCCCTCCTTGATTCTAGAAATATAATACTATAAACTGTTTATTAGGGTCCATAAGGTCCATAAAGACCTAAGTACAAGTGACCTCAATGCTGGGAGGAAATTGGAAGACAATTGTGTGTCTTTTGGGGAAGAAGGAGCAGGTAGTAATGTGCAGCACTTAGAAGTCACAGACTGGTTGTACACACAGAAACATGGATTGTTTCATTTATTCTGAGTTTAGGGGGAAAACGTGAGGTAGAATTGCATCTATAATAAAATAGGTGATTTCAAATACATAAATGCATGGCTAGAGTTCGGTTCTCCAGGAGAAGGACATGGCCGGATCATGTGTAATCCATTCTGTACCTGAGAATTTAAATCCAACCTTAGAAGGACTTGGGCTAACTTTTATCAGCATGGTGGTTCCTAACTCATCATGAAGATGTGGACTAAAAGAGGACGAGAACATGAAGGGAAAGAGAAGCCAAAAGCAGACAAAGGAGAAGAAAAAGTAGAACTGGAGAGTCAGTAACCCTAGATCCTGGGCAGGTGGACATTTATCAGAATCTTCAGCCCACAAATTCTAGACTTTTCAGCACCCTTTAGCTGTGTGAGAAAATCCACTGTGGTTACGCCAGCTCCAGGTCTTTTCTGTTACTTCCTTCCAGTCTAACCCATCTGCTGCTTCCTGACGAGTCCATGGGGTTTGAGCACTAGGGGAGATGAGCATTTCAGCGCTGTGGACTGACTGCTGGCACAGAAGTACAGGCCTGAGTCTTCCAGCTCAGATGACTTGATTTCCACACTGCAGGGTGAGTTTGAAGTATATTCAGTTAAGAACCGTGTCTTGGCCATGTCTATCTGATCAACAACTTTTTTGTTCTGAAAATAAATCAAAAACTTCAACTCTTCATTTTGCTTTTGATGGTACCAATAAACAGCATTGTGTCCCTCTTTAGGGACACAGCTCATCTTGGCGCTCTGTCCATTCCTTTTGACCAGATGTCTTGGCTCTTGGGTAACTTCGTCATCAGAAAAGCCTGGAAGAGAAGGAAACAGAAGCTACAGACCAAGCCCTGGAGGGTCCCCAACTCAGGAAAGGGTTTGGATCTGGGTTGGCAAGCCGAGGACAAGGACTTTTCCCCTTGCTCGGGACTGACCTGCTCCCAGGAGACACAGGGTTACAGAGCAGAGGAACCAGGTGGCCATGGTGGCATCCAGGTGACAACAGGCTGAGCTGCCCCACTCCCCGCCAGCATCCTTCCTGTGAGCGACTGCTCTGCCGACTCGTTCCTCGTGGTACTGACTCATGCTACTGGTGAAAACACTTAGGCTTTCCTAACTCAGTGAATATAATAGGTTTTTATTTTATTCATTGAAATACATTTATAAGTACTTTATTAACCTAATGCACAAAAATTTTTCAAAATTTATGAAGGAAACAATAATGAAATAACAAATATTATTGCTGGACAATGATTACATTTTTTATGCTTAGTTGTGGTTTTTTAGCTCTGTCTCCTCTCCCTTTCTCTCTATATAAATACACATTTATGTATATATTTGTTTTAATTATAAATTCTCTAAGTGCTACTTTACAACCCCTTTCTCCGTTAATAATCATCTTTCCCTTGCATCCATTTTCATCTTATCTACTCTTCAATTTTCATTCAGAATTCCATATTTTCCCCTAAATGTCCTTAGCCATTAATTGGTATGCTCCTTTCTAACTCAGGGCTGAACTTTGTTCTTGCTAGTAATTACTTAATCATATTTCAGTATAATAGATCCTGTTATTTTCTCTATAACCCTGAGTCTAACCACTGCTTTGAAAATATTTCAAGTTCTTGCTATTTTGGATGTATTTTAGCTAGTTCTTTTACTGTTTTTTTTTTAAATGATATTTCTCATTTTCTTTTCTGATTTTTCTATCTCTATTTCTTTTGTATAGTACACTTCTTTTTGTTGTGGTTTTCTCTCAGTTTCTTTTCCCCCACCTATCCCCCTTCCACTGTTCATCAGTTGATGTGTATATTTCCATGTATTTCTCCTACTCACACAATTGTTCAAAGAAGTTTGATCTACATTACAAAACTGATATGGCAAACATAAACCAGAATTTGGTAATTGAAATGAGCACTTGGGCAAATAATTTGACTTGGGAAATACCATCTTGTCCAAAAATTCTGTCCCTGTTCTCTGTTTTCCATTGCGCTGAATACATGTTGATCGTCTTGGTCCTTTTTGCTAACTGCTCCCAAAGTGTTTGCTGAGGTTGAGGATAAAGTTCTCAGTGCAAAGGCCCTAGATTCAATTCCTAGTACTCTGAAATAATAGGAGATTTGTGCACCCGGGGAGGCATTTCCTTCCACTCTGGTGCACTACCAGAGGAGAGGCACAACCCTGCCTGGTCGGTGTGAGCCTTCTTCACAGTGAAAAGAAATACCTCCTTCTCCTCTTGAGAGACCCTATAGCCTTCTGTTATGCCTCCTTTCCCAACATCCTTCTCAACTGTTGAATAATAAATCTGTCTTAGATCTTGCCTGGGGCCATGCTGCTAGCAGTACATGCATGCTGCTGTATCTCAAATTCTGTCTACACTCCAGGGCTACATCCTGTCCAGCTCCTGGAGGCAGGAATGACTTCCAGTAGATGGAACCACCAGGTCATGTGGGATAAAGAGTCAAGGGCTATGGGTCATGCTCAGAAGGGAACCCGATGCCACTGTGAGAAGGAGGAGCTGGAGCAGGGTTCTGGCCAACTGGGAATAGGAATTCACCAACCATCCATCAGAAAACAAAGGGTCACAAGGCAGGGACCTAGCTGACCATTTTCAGGACAAGATCTCTCTGAAGCTCCTCATATACAGGATCTGAAAGACCCTAAGGAAAGTGCTGAGATCTGTACCACCCAAACCCTGTTCAAAATGCAGAACGATACAGATGGTCTTGCTGATGGTTTAACTAAGCCTCAGAAAGATCCTGTTCCTTCTCTTCTGCCTATAGAAGCTCTTCACATCCCTTCTACATGGACAAGTGCCCAGGCGGGGAGAAGAAGAAATCCTTCATGCCCTGAGCAGACTCATATTCAGAATGCCATGTGTACCAGCTGTGATGAGTTCTAGGTAAATAAATATCGGCAGTGTTCAGCTTCTATTGGCTGCTCTGGTTCCCACCAATGTTAAGAGAAGGAAGCCTCAAACACAGGGAGGATTCAGTTGTTCAGTTGTTTTTAAAAATCCGTTTGTTCCATCTCATGCATTTAGTGTAAGTAGTTAATACTGTGGAGATGGGCCCAGGTTATTCCTGTAGTTTTAGCAACAGCAAAGGATGCTCAGCAGACCTCTGTGGATTAGAACAGGGATTAGGGAGGTGGTGTCGGAGTCCTGGCTCTGCCATTTACAAGGTATGTAACCTTGGCAAAATTAACTTCTCTTCCATTTTATTTTCTCATTTGTAAAATAAAGATAGTGAATATCTGTCTCTCAAAATGATAGAAATGAATTTAGAGCAATCCTTAACACATAATAATCTCCACAGTTTTGCTTGCTCTTATTGTTTTCTGGGCCTGGTAGTCTAATACACAATGAATTAAGAAATTCATATGGTAAGGAGAATCCAAATTTATTGACCTAAGGTTGTACTTGATAACTAAAATATTCCCCAGCATTAACATTTGTACCAGTGTAAATGCATTGAACAGCACATGTTCTTCTCAAGAGTCTTATATCAATAAAAATGAAACCACTGATTAAAAATTCCTGAAAGCTCATATTTTTGTAGACAAAATGTTGTTTTATATCTTATCTGAGGTCTTCAGTCATAAAAGATACTCTAATTTCATGTCACTTTCGGTGAAATCTGGTGGATCAGGAGCTTTGCTGCCCTCTTCTGGAAGAAAAGTAGAAGGCAGAGAGAGAAAGAGGTGGGAGGCAGGAAATGTTGGATGGAAGGGAAATAAATGAGGTATTGATTTAGAGTGAGAATCATTAGGAACAGCAGCAGTGCAGGTGAGATACCAAGAAGAATGCTGGCTGCACGGTTGCCCTCAATGCTGAGGCTGAGACCTTCCATTCCCAATTATACCTGCAAAGCGGAAGTTCTCATTCCTTGTACAGAGCTCTTCTCTTTGCCTTTATCCTAAACCCTTCTGTCTTATCACTTGCAAGGAGCCCTTGCAACAAACATATTTTTAAAGTACAAAGTAGAATGCATAGCCCTACAGAGGAAGCCAACTATTTTAAAGTGCAAATATCAAAATACTTTTAAATATATGATGTATTGATATATATTGATATATATTAAATATATATATTGATATATACCTCTTTAAAGTTTAGTAAATTAAATATATCCTGGTAAGCCTGAAAACTGCTATGATTTCAAAGTAGTGATGAGAGAAAATGGTATATACTTCATGTAATGTGATAGGAAATTAGCTGAATTTCATGTCAATATGCAAATGTATGTCCTATACATACAAATATATTGTTACTGCTATATTGACTCTGTCACAGAGTTAATAAAACTGCTTTGGTCTCTTTGTCATATTTATAATGGAAGGAATTTATATTTCAGTTGAGATGGGTGAAAAAATAAAGACACAGTTTTTTATTCAAATTAGTGGACTATCTGAATTTTATCTATGAACCCCTTGGGTTGAGGAGTATTAATGGTAGGGTTCAGATACTTAATTATTGTTGTCACTTTTGGCATTCCTCAAATTTTTCTTTGAAATTTTACTCTTACCTATAATCATATTGGATCATAAACCTCATTTTATGCTCCAAAAATCTACAGAGAAAACTTGATGGAAATGTCAAACCAGTTGCATTTTTCTTTTAATAAAACAGGCTGTTTGCTCTAACTCAGCAAAATATGCAGAGCAGGCGATATGATACATCACAGAGCATCTAAAGACATCATTTTTAGGAGTTAGTGTGTAAAGATGGCCATGAGTCAAAAAACTGTATGTAATAAAAATTACTCATTTTTTAAGTCAAGCATAGGTCACACTCCTTAGGGTTGTTTATACAGCCCATTTCAAAAATAGCATTTCTCAACATTTCCTTAAGGATTTGAACAAATTGTCAAATTGTTGCTTCTGGGTTGGGCACCTGTTAAAGTAGTTTGCCTTCTAGGTCTACACTGAATGAAAGTAGAAATGAAGAAAAGACCAGACAGAGCTCCATGCCCAGGGTTTATTGGAATGTCACCAGTGAAGAACAGCACTTAAAAATCTGAATGTGCTCAAGGATCAACATTTAATAAAATTAATTTTTACCGCCTTTTCACATTGATTGTCATGCTTCTGTCACGCATATAAAACTTGTCAGAATTTATTGAGTTGCACCTTCAAAATGGGGTGAACATTATTGCGTGTATTTCTATTTTGATAAAGTTGCTTTTAAAAATTACATGATTTAGTGCCCATGGGACAGAAGTTGCTGAGAGTTTCTGGGAAGTTTTTGTGGGAAGGAGAGCTGTGGAAAGCAGTCAGGGAACCCTGAAGCTCTCAGCGTCCTGTATAGGGAATTGCGCTGCACTAGATGACCAGGGCCCATGCCAAAGTTAGGGCAGATGTGCTCAATCATCCTCAGTCAGGAGCACAGTCACACCAGGTGAAAAGCTCAGAGTTACATACTTTCTATAAAGATGGTTACCCATAAAGCTCATTCGGAAAGAGAAAGACAGGAAAGGAAAGCAGGGAGGCAGGGAGGGGAGGAGGAAGGGAGAGACACAGACAGGGACAGAGATGGAGACAGGGAGACAGAGAGAGAGAAGCCTGGTCAATCTTGACTCTTGACAAATATGCCTCACACCTGGCTGAGCCCCCTTTCTACCTCCCTTTCCCTTCCCCTGGGTTTCTGTCCCCATCAGTCGTTTTAAGCACCCATTTTTTTCTCACCAAGAGCTGTCATTTACAAGTTTTCTCTTCTACTCACGCATTGGATTTCTCTTAGTCCTTAGATACCTACTGTACCATGTATTTCTTGAGCAGGTTCCTAATGAGTTCATATTCTAAGAAGAACTCACAATCAGCACTGTGACTTGGCTGCTGGCATAGAAGTACAGTGCTGAGTCTGCTAGCTCAGTGGACTTTATTTCCAAGCTGCAAGGTGAGTTCTGGGGGCACTGGGCTGAAAAATCACTGATATAACATTTCACTTGTGTCAATGATGAATTCTGAGAATAAACCAAGAACTTGAGCTCTCCTTCCAATTTCTTATGACACCAATAAACCTATGTGCCTTTGCGGGGGGATCAGAATAAATCTCTGCTTTCTGCTCCTTTCCTTTCATCAGATATCTAAAAGTCTGTGTGATTTCAGTATCCATGGAGCTTGTGGACAAAGGAGACAGAAGCTGGAGAGAAATTCCAGAAGGGAACCTGATATTGCAGCTGCAGGGGAAAGTGTCCAAACGAGGATACAACCAGTTCAGAGCAGGGACCTCACTTTTCAGCCTATGTCATTCTTTCAGATTCCATGTTTCTTTCTCTATGACACCAAGGTAGCTATAACTCTACCCTGTAGATTTATCATACATTGGCTTTTATTTAAGAATCTGTAAGTTATGTATTGTTTAATGTGTGTCTTTTAAATTTAGCTCCAAGAAGAATCACTCTGTTTGTATTTTTCAATGATAGTAATTTTTTCATTATAATTCCTGTCTATACTTACATTAGTTTATTCCCACTAAATATTTAGCATTCCATTATATAAGCTTGCTAGAATTTATTATCCATTCTTGAATTAATGCCCAACTTACTACCATCAAGCCTTTGTGATACCAAAAATAGTACTGTATTTTTGTGGATGTCTCTAGGTACTAAGGAGCAAGCTTTTCTCTATCCTTGGATGCATAGAGACAGAGTCTCATTCAAAAAGTTGACTTTTTTTAATATGACAAAATGCTTTCCAAGCTGATTAAGCCGAACAAATAATCCCAACAGTTTGTGTTTCAAATGCTAGGACTACAACTAGTATTTCATATGCTTTAAATTTTGCTAATCTATTCTGTTTAATTAATTAACTTATTTATTTGAGACAGGGTCTCACTGTGTAGTCCAGGCTGGCCTCAACCTATGTAGGCCAAGGCCTTGACTTTGCAGTAATCTTCCTGCCTCAGCCTACCAAGTGCTAGGATCACAGGCATGTGCAACTATGCCCAGCCTAATTTGGTTAAAATTGAGTCACATAGTATAATGTAGTTTTAGTTTGCACTTCTGATTGCTAAGGAAGTTAAACATCTCTTTCAAATTTATAAACCACCAATGTTTTCTGTAAACTGGCCTTTGTCCTCATTTCTTTTGCCTGATTACCTGGTATTTATTTGTTTTTTATATATTCTGAACATTAAATGTTTGGCAGATTATGTGTTGCTAATATATTTCTAATTGTGGCTTATGCTTTTATTCTTTGTGGTACTTTAATCTTTTTTTTAATCTAGTAGAATGTGTCATTCTTTTCTTTTGGGTCTTCAAATAGACATTGAAAAAAGCATATATATACATATATATACATATATATATATACATATATA